ATCTATCTATCTATCTATCTATCTATCTATCTATCTATCTATCTATCTATCTATCTATCTATCTATCTATCTATCTATCTATCTATCTATCTATCGCTGTCCTTGCTAATTAGAAAACTTGACTGGGGATTGAAATGCAGCAGACGGCAAAGCAAGAAGAAAAAAGAAACCGGAGGAGAAAAGAAAAACCTGACAATATGTTTGAAGCTCTGAGAGATGGAGGTGAGCCGGGTGGAGGAGGGGTGGGACCTCCGAGGCTTTGGAGCCAATTTGAGGACCTTGTGATGCAAAACCAGTCCTCGGCAACAGACAGTTCCCATGGCAACTGTGAGCTGCCAAAGTTCCTTGTTGACAAATGACGGCTCCCCTCTCCTCAGTACTCACCCGGCGATATTCATGTGTCTGTGTTTATGCGTGCGTGGATGAGTGTGGTATTTGGTAAGTCCCCGTCTTTGCCTTAGGCATGGGGGGGGGGGGGGGGGGGGGTTGGTAAAGGGACACAGGCAGAATTGCGTTAGTACGAAAGTGTAAGTGTGGCATTCACACATACAAACACACAGTAGTTGGACAATGTTTTTTTTTAATATGAGATTTGTCCAAATTCCTAATGTTGAGTTTTATAAGAAAATGTTGTGAGAACAAAGAGTTTGGAAAGAAAACAATTTAACAGCGTATCATGTATCATGTGAAATAATGACTTCCAGTCACATGTATGAGAAAATAAAGGAATAAGAGAAAATGGGAAAATGGGATTTGATAAAATTGTTGAAATAGCTAAAAGTAATGGATGAATCATGTAATTAGAATTAGTAAACTGTCAGTTAAAGATAAATGATTTTAATAGGTTAGCTAAAAATTGCTTCAATGGTTATCTAAAAACCATAAATGATTGAAAATTAAATACAGCTTATCTAAATTTAATAATTAAGTAATTTTACGTTACATACAGTCCTTTGAAAAAAAAAAACACATCTTCATTCAGTAGATCAGTAACAACTTTAGTAGCAACAACTTGAATTATTTGTTTTTTGTAGCTCATGCACGGCTCTCATAAATGGACTGATTCTTAGATAAGGCTTTCCTACTCTCCCGGAGTACTCAAAGCACTCTAAACAACGTACGACATTCACCCAATCACACCCATTCATCCAAGCACTTTCTTCTATGCTTAGTGCTTCCTAACTACATTCAGACACATTCATACTCCGATGGATGCATCGGAGAGCAACTTGGGATTAGTATCTTGCCCATCTTGCCCATGCCGACTAGAGGAGGAGCAAGGAATCGAACCACTAACCTTCAGATCAGTAGGTGACCTGCTCTACCTCCTGAGGCCTACAGCATTTCAGTCAGACTGAGAGTCTGAACATGACTGAGGCCATTCTTTAAGAGATTTCACTGAAATCTAACCAGGAAATGCTAAGACGCAAGTGAATTCTTTGGTATACAGAGGAGTTCGGTGACTGGAAGGTCTTCGGGTCCCATGGGTACAAAACATGCCCAAATCATCAGTTGTTCTCCATCGTACCGACAGTTGGGTTGAGGTGTTTGAGCTGATAGGCTGTTTGGTTTTTGCCAAACATTTCGCTTCACTTTGGGCTCATCTGTGTACTCTCATGAACTTTAGCATTTAACATACCTGTAGAGTCTGAGATGGAGCTCTTGGGTTTTTTGCAGTTTTGCAGGCTGACCTTGGGCAGTGTTTTTGTCCACTCCTGGGAAGATTAGCAGTTGTCAAGAATGTTTCCCACTTGTGAATAATCTTTCTCCTGCAAAATGATGGACTTTACATTCTCTTATAACCTTTCCCAGGTTAACACACCTGAATGCTTCAGGCTGACAAACTGCCAAAACCTCTGTTTTCATAGAGTTGCTCGCATTAATGGTCAATGAATCAAATGCATTTGATTTGCTGTTACTTGTCCTCTTAATTGCTCTGGAAGCAGTGAGGGTGCTCTAATATTTTCACACACTGTTTCTGTTTGGCATAGATTTAGGTAAATAAATGAAATAAGCACATGGTGTAATATAGTTTGTTCAACTGAAGTTGCATTTACCTAATTTTAAGACCTGATAATGACCAGGTTTCATTTCATTGTCTTCTGATATGTAAAACCTTACAAGTTAAAGAAGGTGTGCTTTCCTTTATACAACATAAAAGCATTATTTTAGGGATGATTTCAGTTTTGTATGTTTCTTTTGCAATAATATTTATCTGTCCAATGACAGAAAGTGTAAAATGAGACGGTAACAGTGAGTGATCTGAAGTGGAAGCAGAGAGAGGATGAGGCCAGGCTGAGCAGCAGGATCCAAACACCCCTGCAGCAGAAGTGTCATGAAAAGATGATCTCCCATCCTCACCTCGCAACAGAGCTGTCAAGATGTTCAGACCTGCGATTTAACCTCCCAGCTTCACACTGTTACATCCTACTGACACACACTCACATGGAAACTCTAAGCCACAATGGCTTTGCTGCTTTCAAGCAACCAGTAGCAATGTCATAGAAAAATCTGCACAGCATTAGCAATAATCCAGTAATTAGAGGCTACACACATGAAGCGCCATTACTCTATTTAACGAATGTTTAACTTAAAGCTTAACAAGAGAAATGGAAAAGAGAAATATGCAAGTACTGGAGGCTTTTTTAAAATCACAAATGTGGTTGTGTATATTTTGAAAATGTCCCTGTCTTATCTGTGGGGTTTAAAGGAAGCAGACGCTTTATGTGAATGTTGCATTGCAGGGACAATAGGTGTGCCAGGGAGCGCAGGGAGAAGTGTGGAGGTGACTGCTCCGAGCGTAATGTCAAAAAAATTAACATGAATTGAACAGCAAAGTGACACCTGAGAGACATTTGGCAAGAGCGGTGTGCTGCGGCACCGCACTCCACTGAACAGCAGACAGAACGGGAAGCAATTCAATAACCGGGAACTCACACACACATCCCCCGCTGCATTGTCGTATTTAAAAAAGCTGCGAGGATCAGCGTGATGTAAAAAGAATAAAAGAGGCGGCGATGTTTTTTCAACATTTCTTTTACTGAGCTTTACACTTGTCACAGAACATCACACAAAATTACCAGAGCAGGCTTGCTCTTTTGTTATTTTTAATAAGACAATGCAGTTACATGTTCTCGATTCACACAAAAACATTGCTCCGTCTTCCATTTTTAAGATTACCGCTGATAGGGAATGGGTTTCGGTGTTTTAAATTCCTTTTTTTCCGGTTGAATGTGGGTGACTCTACCTAACAATGTAAATGTATCTATCCAAATCCTTTGGGCCTTAAGGTCATTATCATGGGAAAAAGGAAATTACAACAACTGGATATTTTATGTCCATTTTTTTTTAACAGCTTTGGCTTCAGTTTCTGATCCTCAGAATTCGCAAACGAGACACAGCATCAAACAAGACCCCCACGATTAGTCTCCTAAGTGTGAGAGCTGGTTTGGTGCAGTGCCTGTCCTTAGTTTTGAATCAAGTGTATGTATTTCACATTGGCCTGACATATTTCTCCCCAATCAATGTGCTTTGAGTACATTGTGCTTGATTTCCGATGCACAAAGACGCAAGAAAACTTGAGGGCACATACACAGACGTGACTCTCGAGAGGATGGGCATACTTTCAGAGTTCAGTCATAATCACAGTTCATCATTTTGGAAAATACTTATTGTTTTATTTTCAAGAGATTAAATCAGAAGGTGTTAGCAGTTAGCGTGTCATACAGCTGACCATAAACACCATAAATGGGAGGACTGGATCTGTGCAAAGGAAACAAATCCACCATCCAACCAGAAATCTTAAAAAAAAACAAACAAACAAAACCAACATTGCTCTCTATATATATTTACAGGATCTAATTATCATGCTGTCAACAAAATCTTTAAATTCTGAGTGTGTGATCCAGTTTTATGTTTTTTAGATTCACGTGATTTTTGGTAAACCAACAACAAACCTTCCCCGGTCGGATATGACGAGTATAAATGAGGTCTTTAAACATTTAGCATTTAAAGGCTTAAACATCGCTCCTTCAAAGTTTGCAGAACGTTTGTGCTTTGTCAGAAGAGGAGGTGCTAGAAAACATGCATTCCAAAGTACAAAAAAAACAAAAACACTTTTCAGGTGTCTAAATTTAGTTGAACATTTTTTTAACATCCCTGCATTTAACTACATGCCCGTGTCCTGTTTTAGTCAAACGCAGTCGCTTGGAATGCGAGATAGCTACGTAAAAACAAGAACAAATACATAAACACGCCATATACATGAATCTATAAAAACACTAAGGCACTTTGAAAATGTGATTTAACAATGTTCATGATTGTGTTGTTTTAAAGTAATCTGAAGAATAAACGATATTGTGCCGCCGCCGCCGCACAGTCGCGCGCCATAGCCTGAGTCAGCGTCAAAATCAGCAGTCACGCATAATCATGTGTGACCCCCCCCCACCCCGATTTATTAATAAAAACAACAGCTCAGAATCAAGTTTTTTTTTAAATGCTACATATTATGTTGCAAACACACACACAGAAGCAAACACACACTCCCAGATCCACAACCCATTATTTCATAGGCTTGTTTAGGGTCCTGAAACGAGACCGTCGCACCAATAAAAAAGCCCCATTTGAGACCTTTTCCTTTGTGCTGTGGGGCTTGAAAATGGTCTTGCAGACAGTGCAATAGCAAGCTTCACTTCACTTTGGGGACCTAGACCCCGCCATATGTGACCTTGGTCTTTATAATTGTTTGAGAAATGTGTGCAGTGCCAACAGAGGCCAAGAAGAGGCTGTTTTTCTTCATCTCACTAATGCTAATGACAGCTGTGTCTGTGTACCCTGAAGTATAATAACCCATTAAAATAAAGCTGACTTGGCATTTCTATAGTGTAGGTAGCTTCCACCTTAATCTGTTATGAGACAGTTGTCGTCATCATTACATTTTTAGGAGACTTAGAATGCTATTGAATTATTGTCTGTGAGCCCTCCGATGCCAAAAGCTCAGCTTGTGTGGCCCTCTTTCTGTTGCAGTACAGTCCCACTGGCACTGTCTCACGCCTTCTTCCTCCTCCTCCTCTTCCTCCTCTTCTTCCTCCTGCTCTCCCTCCTCTTCTTCCACCCTATCTGTCATGCAGCTGTCCTCTGTCCTCCCGTGTGCATCACCTAGCAGGGTCCTAGTCCTACTTTTCTGGCTTGATTTGTTGCTAACGACATCAACCGAAGGCCCCGCTTGTCTTCTTTCATCATCGTCTTCCTCGTCCTCCTCCTCTTCCTCCCGCTCTTCTTCCTCCTCCTCATTTTCCTCCTCTTCCTCAACATCGTCATCCTCATCATCACGATCATCCACGGCCACTGCCAGCCCTAACTTACTATGGCTGGCCAGCTGAAAAAACGAGGAGGAGTGCGGTGCAGACGAGCAGGAGAGCGCTGCATCGTACATGGAGAATGGGAGGTGGAGGTAGTGTCCTGCGGCGGCCGCCGCGGCGTAGATGCAGCAGCATGTCTGTGCACAGTCAGGGCGAAGATCCCCCTGTCCCCCACGGACCATTCGGAAACGTTTGCGTAAGGGCGGCCCGGCTTGGGGCGCTAAGCAGATGCGGGCGGGCACTGCTCTGTGGAGTGCCTGGTGAGCGGGGTTAGTGCTGGGAGGCAGGATGCAAGGGCCAGAGGCAAACGCTGGATTGGGCGGAAAGCACCAGTCAGTGCTCTGGAGCAGGATCTCTGCTCGCAGACGCCGAAGGAGGTTGTTAACAAGAACGGAGCGGCGGAGGAATGCCTCGGGGTCGTCGATGAATCGCATCTTCTCCAGGGAGAGGCGCAGCACGTGGGCACGCTCCTCCAGAACCGGTGCAACCTGAAGGACAGTTTTCCATTAGATCTACCTGTCAGTGACCTGCCTCAATTAGTAACAAAATACAGAGACGGAAATAGCTGGACTTAAAAATATTTGCATTAAACAGCACTGATACTGTAGAGTTTGTGTTTCGGAATAAACTAAACGCTTTACTTTTCAACAGTCTTTCCACTTATTTTGTCTCAGTGTGTTTGTACCAATACTTACAGTCTGGCAGTATGTCCTGAAGCTAAAGGGTGCCTCATCATCATCATCAACAAACTTCCTCTTGAAGTACGCGATCCTCGACATTGAAATATGATCAGGAACTCGTCTGCAGGATGACTCTGCGCAGAGAGGGAGAGAGAATATCACCATTAATCATTTGCACTGATGAACTATAAGTTTTCACCATTACTGCGTGACATTAGCTAACATTAATCACCGACTGAATATAGAATATTTAGACTCCTGCTCCTTAAAGGAACAGTTCCCAGTCCAGCCTGTCGTGCTGTTTATCCAGCTGGATTATTTCATCTGAGGTGCCCAGTATCGTAGAAATCCACAGTAGAGATATCCACCTTCTGTTGAATATATTGGACGCAGCTGGCACGTGCTATCATGCCAAAAGTACATTTGAAAGAGTCAGCAGCGGTGTCTCTTTTTAGAACCTACGACATGGTTACTAAACAAATCCACAAACCTTGCAGTTGCCTTTAAAATACATAAAACTACTCACAACAAGGTTTGTGGAGCTGATTTGTTATATATTTATTTGAGTAATCAGGTCTCGTGATTTCTGCAAAGAGACACTGCTGCTGTATTTTGGGTCGCTTTAAGCACTGCAAGCTTGAGTGTCATCTGCCTCGTATGCGAGCGAAAAGAGACATCTCTGTATCTCCAACACTACGTGACTCACACCTGAATAATCTAGATTTATAAACAGCACCACAGGCCAGAGGCAAAAACAGATCAATTTGATTTGGGGGTAAACTGTCCCTGCAGGCGTTTATGCAGAAGCCAAAAATAGTAAATATAAATGAAATATTTTTATATTGAAATTAATGTGCACACTATGGGGATGTTTAAGACACTGAAATACATGTTAAGATTTCAGAAGTGCCAAAGAGAGACACAGAAACTTTGTGAGGCGACCCCGACTAAATTTTTTTTATTCTTGGGGTGAAGTCAGGGGACAAAACCTCAGAGACCAGGGTCAGAGAAAGGTCGGAGTCAGAGTTAATACTTTAGCTGAAACATCTGTCTAATGCAAGACTAAAATACCAACATATCTTTTGAAGCTTTTGCAGGGTCTTTGTCTTATGAGTGGGCTCTAAACTAAAATGGAACTAAGAAGCACATGCCAGCCTGCTACCATGTTAATTAGCTGACCGCTCAACACAACAGCATCTGCTACAACCTCCCATAAGAAGCGCTGCATGCTTACATTCTGGTTCCTGGAGAGCAAGTTGCCTTGATGAGGCTTGGGCAGATGGCTCAGATTACAAGGTCGAGCATGGCCACACAACTGTTTTAACTCTGCTTGTTTTACTCAACAACTTTAATTGTGCAAGTTTGAATAAACAACTTAACTGTGCAAACATCAGTCTGTGTGTACCTGGAGTGAATTGTTCTTCGGAGCTGCATGGCGGTGCGGGGTTTGACAGGCAGGTCTTAGTGCAGCGCTCCGACTCCCATATGGGCTGGTAAGTGGAGAGCGGAGGGTCTCCCTCTGGGTCCAGGAAAGGATTCATGGACAAAACAAGGGTCATCTCTCTCTCCTAATCAGGTCTGGAATAAACAGAATAAAAGAACGACCAAGCTCAGCCTCCACTTATAAAGATATCACATCAAATTACGCAGTATTTGGAAACAGAATGATAAACTGAGTTTGGTTTATCCACTATTAGCGGTTAATAATGAACCGGTTTCCATAAATCTCACAAGCGCTCTGCATATGTTCCCCTAATGACGCAGTAAATGTTAACAAGCTGTTTATCTGATGCTGCCAAATACATTGATTTTGCGTGGAGGAGTAACCAGCTTCTGTTCGAGCTGCATGACACATCTGAACGGCAATAATGGCGAGCGCTAAAAATTGGCAGATGGTTGGCAGCTCCGTTATATGCGCAGTTCTGTAAAGCGAGGGACAGATGGAGAAATGACACCCACTCACACCATGAATTCCCTATTGATTAGTTGGTAGGAGACTTGGCGAGATGTTTGACACCAATTTGTTCGGTGAAATGGATCCCACACATCAAATCACACTGGGAAGATTGTGTCAACAACATGATAATCTAGGAAGCGAAGGAGATGACGTGCGCGGTGCCAGCAGGACCGGAGCACAGGGCATACGATTTGACAACATGTTTCCAACAGGCACTGCGCTTATTTGATTCTTATTAATGCTGAATTAAGTGTGAACAGAACAAAATATTTCACTCTGCACCACCTTACGTTTGAAACTGAAGTGACGCCGCTAAGACACCAAGATATTACTTGGCAGCGAGCAGCAGTAACCTGCCAACTGAGCTTTTTCAATCTGAAAACAGAGCCCTACTGTGAAGATGCCGAGTGGCCCGACAGCCAAAATCTGTCTGTGATCCTGCGAATCAGCAGAGAGACGCCGAATCGCTCTTTTGATCACAGTGAATGGCTGTCATTTGGTTCACTGTTGATATTTTCCCCCCTTCATGCAGAATGCAGAGCCAGCTGTTTGAGTTATCAGCTGCCGGACCTCCTTGTCACCACCTTTCCTCCTCAAAGCTTCTCCTGCCCCTCCTCCACCTGCCCGCTCGAACAGATATCATCGCCCACAATCCATCCTGACAGACCAAACTGAGGCGACACCATCTCAGCCTCACCCCTGTTGGGTAGCTGATTAAAATGTCCGCTTCAATAAGCTCCCAGTTTTGCTTGGCTGAACAGTTTTATTTCTCTGTGCAGCTTTTCTAGCGTTTGCCTTTAACTGACTAATCAGGCACACCTAAAGCCAACGAAACATCAGCTCAGACAGAGCTGCTCTCACCAATCAAATCTACTCGTCCCCGGGGAGTAATGGATTACACACAACGGCGGTGCATACAGCAGACATGCTTTAAAACTCAACATTGCCAGTCTTGTGCTATTTTTTTTCTACACCACTGCAGTTGTTGCAGCAATCTGGCAATGTAGTTAATTTTATGCTCCATTTTATCCTCACTCATGAACAAGACCCCCTGTGAGCTACGACCTCATGATGGCAGGATTTACACGTCGCCGCGATTGCACGAGCTGCAGCATCGGAAGAAATAGCCAGCGGGGTCAATGAAAGTGAAGTGCATATTTAGGAAATTAAGCTGATACAGACAAGAGAACAACAAGTGGTTAAGCTTGCAATGGAAAAATGTAAATGCAAACATCAAGAGAGAACAAAACAAACCAAAAAACTGTGTTTGGCAATCCACTGAATTACTGTCACTGCATGAAACTCAGCCTCTTTGCAAAGCTGTGACCTAGAGAGGGTCATTTAAACGTCCACTGCCTCGCGATGGGTAAACGCAAAAACATCTAAAAGTCGGTGAGAGTACACACTCTTTGGAATCGACCAACATTGAGAAGACAGGAGTAACACCAAAGATCAATAGTCTCTCCTCATCATATCACATATTTTCAGACCTGCAGAATTAGACAATCTCATTTATGTTTTCGTACTTTGGCTTTTCATAAATCACTTCTTCAACAAAGCTGCGTCACTTTTTGCAGCTTTGCTTTCAAACTAATAAAAAAAAGTCACACAGTGACACAACCAGTCTCTTTTGAGGTTAAAGTGCTGTTTTTGTCAGTTTAGCTTTAAAATGTACTAAATAGAGCACACACTTAGACCAATATTGATTTCTTTTAGGCAGCTAAAATCCACTTTGCTGCTGACCAGTTCACATGACTTTAGCTTCTATCCCGGGCTGTGCTCCTGTCTGCTGGATCCGCCTGTTATGAACGGTCACAGTTTTTCAAGATTTCAATAGTCATGCTACGCAAAAGCAGAAGAGAACACTGGATATTGGTAAAGTGTATATAAAGTACATTAAAGTGTACAAATGGGAGAAGCTGAAGAAATGAGATGAAGGACTCCCTGCAGCCTCTAAATGAACAAAGAAATTTACTGCAAGAGGTTAACATAGCATGTTAGCTCAGAAAGGAGACAAACTTGGAGAGTGCTGTCCTACTTAATCATTTCAACTTCTTGTTTGAAGCCAACTTAATGCAACTTACTTAATATTCATTTTGTAAATTATGGTTCTGTTAGTTCAAGTATGGATGCAGTCTCCCTAAGATGCTTGAGGTTTTAAAAACAGGATTTTGGGTGACACCACAGTGGCTTTGTCCATCTTCATCACACACAAATAGGCTTAGAGGAGCAGCTGGTGAATTTTGACTATATATGGAGGAGAAAGTGATGATTTTAAACACTTGCCCTAAATTTGAGGTAACAGGCACACAGACTGTGGTACTGTGGTTGGGGAAATTCAGCAAGCAGATTTTAATGTCGGCACATGTGGAGGAATCAGACGGAGAACAGGCCAGAAAGAGCTTGAGGGTTTTCTTCTGACTCCCCGCTGGAGCCTGCAACTCAGCTATTCTGGTTTTGGTCATAATCCACCATGTTACATCGTGAATTATGCACATTTTCTAACATGCTGTCAAATTAGTCAAATCATACTTCTGTGAACTGCATTTCACTGCAGAGGGTTTCCACACCTGAGGACCACCAACTAAGGCCAATTATGTCACTGTTATTGAGCGCTAGTGCCATGCTTCATTAGCAGCTTTGGCCCCTCTCATCTCTCCACCCCAAGCTGCTTTTTTGCCCTCAGCTATTTTTCCCTCCATCACCTCCCCTTACCGCTGCTATTGCAACGTTTGCTCGGGCACAAAGAAACAAGCATGCCATTACTCCCTCTGCCCTCCGTAGGGACCTCCATCTCGACATCCCCTCTCCCTCCTTCGCTCGTCTCTTTCATCCCCCCACCCTCTCCGCCTGAATCCCTCTCTCAGTCTCTTGCTGACATCCTTTCAACAGCGGTCACAGTTGACAGCTCTCTGAACCAAGGGGGTGAAGAAAAACAATGAGAATGCCGACAGAGCAGCTTCCCTACATGTGCAGCAATACTTCTTGTTCTTCAAAGAAAAGGAGGGGGAGGAGGAGGAGGCAGTGAGAACAAGTGTGTGTGTCTGTAAAAGAAGAAGGAGGAAGAAACGGAGGGTTGAGGAATAAAAGCAGGGAACGAGGGAACGAGGAGAGAATAATCTCTCCTCCCGTTCTTTTTCTGAATGTGTGCATTTCAGGGGCAAAAAAACAGAAGAAAAAAAACTGAGTGCGCACAAGTGTGTGCTAGCATTGTGTGAGTGCTTCACCTCTGTTCAGTCACAGCTCCTCTGGCTCCATCCCTCTTATCTTTCTTCTCTCGCAGCTTCCCTAACTCTGTCTGACTCTCCATCTCGCCTTCTTTTTCATTACACTCTTTGATGATGAGAAGTTAATTGCGGTGCCAGGGCACGAGACAAACCGTGGGAGGGATACAGAGAGTGATCGAGAATAGGAAGGAAGACTGAGGGGGGGAAGAGACAGAGGGAGCGCGGGATAGATGGTATGAGTCAGGGAACGAAAGATAAGTGCCTTAGGAGCCTTGTCATGAGTGGAGACAGATCGCCTGCAGGGATGATTTCTGCTGCTGTGATTGACTCCCTCCCTCCAGCGTTGAGACAGGCAGGCGAACACACACTCAGACACACACAGCTTGATGTGTCCTGAAACATTTTGAAAGGGAAGCCAAGAAAGGACCACAAATGCTGACCACGGTGCTCAGACACACATATTTCTATGGAGGTGTTCAGTTATCACAGTACTCCGCAAAGGTGTTGGACACGTCGCATGCTTACATAGTCATTTATCATGCAACACCATTAGGGTGTCAAATTTATTCTGCACCACGGCTGCAAACGTACAGCTAACATCGTGATCTTCAGCCACAAGGAGAAGAGCTTAAGAGCGAAACTACAAAACTTTATAATGTCAGGTTAAACTTCCCAAGTAAACCATCCTATGAAATGTAAGTTGCAGCTGGGATTTTTTTATTGTTCTTTGGGCCTGAATAAAGTGACAAAATCCAACAATAGAGAGGATTACAGATGAATCCATGACACACATTAACAGAACTTATCTGGTGTTTTTTCCTCAGCTTTCCTTCTGCCTTCATCCTGTATTAGATTTTAAAAATGTCTCACATTTGTTTTGGATATGGATTACATTTGATCCTTCTCATGAGAAATACGCAGAAATGCGTCTGTGACCAGCAGTGGGGCGAAGCAAACCCCACTGCTTTTACATGAAAGGGCACAAGCTCCACATTAGTTAGTGTGTATCTTAATTATGGTTTTAGTGTCGTAGAGTTCATTAATCCTGACATTCCTTGATAGCCCCCAAGGTAAAGCTAAGTAGGTCAAATTCATTTCATAGTGCAGCCCATCAATGGGAACATCACAGAGTCGGTCTGAGATCAGACAAAGAGACACGACAGCCTGAAACAACAGAACCGTGACAGGTTTATTGGAGAACTTGAACAGTTCTAGAAATAAAGCTTCTATATAATGCATTTAATATTACATAAAAACTGTATTTATCTAATTACTGATATGTCTCGCTTCTTGTGTTCATATGTTCATGTAATACAAATCTGCATCTCATTATCTATGTAAATGGCTCATGTTGGTTATTTTAGGTGTCCATTTATCGATACACGTTTTTAGGT